CGCGACGTCCGCGCGTCCCCTCGAAGCCAGCGCGGGGCCGCGGCGCCGCCGGCGTCGCCGCGCCGGCAGCCGTCGCCGCGCGGGGCGTTGCTGACCGGGCCCGCAGCTGTGGCAGGCAGGGCTGGGACTGCCGGCAAGGGCGGGAGCTATGCCTCAAACAATGGGCGCAGCCCCAGCCGCGCCGTGGCCGGGCCTGGGCATGGCGAGGCGCGAGCGGCGGCCGGCGCCAGGGAGCGCCAGCCGAGCGGGAAGCTTCTCACCGCGCCAGTGAGAGCGGCGCACGCACCCCAGCCTGAGGCTTCATTTCTGCCGCAGCGCGGCGCCGCGCTGGCCAGCCCGCCGCCTCAATACCCCGGCGGCGGCGCCGCCGCTGGGCGGCCGGGCAGCGCCACCCCCGGCGGCCCCAGCACGCCGCCGCCCGTGCCCGCGCCCGCGCCGCAGCTGCCCCCGCCGCCGCCGGTTTGGGGCGGCGCAGGCCACGACCCGTGCTCGCCCACGGTCGCGCCGCCGGGCTCGCCGGCGGCGGCGGACGCACTGGTCAACGGCGTCGGCCAGTCGGTGTCGAGCGCCCTGAGCGCCCTCTGGTGGAGCGCCCGCACAACAAGCTCTGGCGGCGGCCGTGCGGCTGCCTCCCACGGCGGGGGCGGCGGCGGCGGCGGTGGCGGCGGCGACGCGGCCGTGCCCGCGGGGCCGCCGGCGCGGTCTGGGAGCGGGCGGCTGCCTATCATCAGCACCAGCAGATGGAGCAGCGTGCCGCGCGTGTTTGCAGACCCCTTGCCGCCCGCAGCCGCGGCGCCCGACCCGCGCGCCGGCCCCGCCGCCCCCCGCCCTCCCGTCGCGCCAACCGGCGTCACCAGCGCCGCCGGCTCAGCGGCCGTGGCCGAGGGCGGGGCGGTCGCGGAGGCGGTATCGGCGCTGGGGGCGGCGGACGGCGGGGCCGGCCCGGTTGTCGGCGCGGAGCCGACTTCTAATGCCGACAGCGTTCAGCCGCTTGCGCTTGTGAAGGCAACCCATGTGTCTCGGCGGCGGCTGACCGCCACAGACGACCCAGCAGCCACGTCCCAGGCGGGCTCGCCGGAGCCGGGCGCGGCCCCTCTCCTCTCCGCATCCGCACCAGCGGCACCGGAGGGCGGGGAGGCTGCGGCTGCGGCTGCCGTGGGCGGGGCGCCTGCGGGGGATGCTTCGGCGCCTGCCCGCCAGCCTTCTGGAAGATGGGGCCTCCTGTTCCCGAGATCCAGCAGCGGCAGCGCCGCACCCGCGGCAGCTGCGGTCCCGCCGGCTGCGAGCGCAGTCGATGGCGCTGAGGCTGCCGCGCCGCAGCCGCGGCGCATGTCAAACACGGCCGCTCCCGCTACCGATGGCGCGGCGGCGCCGGGGGCGCCCGTGAGGGCCCCGGCCAGCAGCTCAGCCGGCGCCGCCGCCGGCCTCGCGCGCGCCGCGGCAGCGCTGCTGCCGTCTTACCTCCGCCGCAGGAGCGACGCGGCGAGCAGCGGCGCCGGCGACCGCACGGCGGCGTGGGTCGACGCGTGCGCGCCGAGCGAGGCGGGGGCGTCGTCGGCTGGCGGCGGCCGCATGGGCGATGAAGGCGGCGTGCTTGCGGCGGTGGTGGCTGCGGAGGCAGAGCAGGTCAACGCGCACCTGTCGAGCAGCGGGACCCGCACGGGGTCATCACCCGCGCCAAAGGGCGGCGCCCCTACAAAGGCCGCAAAAGGCGCGACCACTAAGGCCGCCGGCGGCGGCGCGGAGCAGGGGTCGGGCGGCCTCTGGTGGTGGCGCAGCCTCGGCGGCGCCGGCGCCGCCGACCGCGACCTTGCGCCTGTGGGCACGCTCCGCACGCGATACGGCGACGCGGCGGCAAAGGCGTCTGCCGGCGGCGCCGGCGCCGCGCCCTTGCCCAGCCGCAGCGGCGGGGGCGCCTCGTGGTCGCAGGGGCGCAAGGCGCGCTTCGCCTGCTTGGCGGCGCTGGCGGTGATGGTGGCGGCCGCGTGCATCGCCGCGCCCGTCGCGGTGACTCAGCGGCGCCGGCAGGCGCCGCCCGCGGCGGGGGCGTCCAAGGCGGCGGCTGAGGGCAGCCGTCCGTTGTCATTTGAGGTGGATTCGTCGGTGGCGCCGCCGGCGGGCGCGGTGGAGGGTTGGGGCTGCGAGGCCATCCTCGGGACCCGCCAGGTGTGCAGGGCGGGGAGCGTGGCCATTGACGGGGAGGGATGTGAAGCAGGGGTTGGGTCTGCTGTGCGGGCAGGTTGCTGACAAGGAGGGGCAAGGGATGCACCACGGCAGGACGCCGGCACCTGGACAGGCGCTGCTTGCTGCGCGGCCCGCGGTCCGCCAATCGGTCGCCTGCGATCATGTTCGCGGGCGCTGGCACGCAGCGGCTTACAGAGCGCACGAGCGCGAAACCGCTGCGCCTTTGCCCTGCTGGATGCGCACCTCCAACTCTGCACGCCCTTGGGCCCCAAAGCATGTGCCGCAACCCGCCAAACGCCAACCGCCACTGCTCCACCCAACCGCGCGACCCGCAGGCTCTCGATGGGTTCAAGCTCGCGTTCAAGCAGACGTACTCGCCCGGCCTGCCCATCCCACCAAGCCACGTGATCATCGATGCCCTCTCTTGCAACGACGCGGCGCTCGTGCTCGACGGCCGCCCCGCGGCGGCGGCCGCGCCGCCGTCGACCCCGACGTCCTCACTGTCAGACTCGGGGCGCCGGCGGGTGCTGGGGGCTGGAGGGAAGCCCGGTGATGACTCATCGGCGCAGGAGCTCCTCAAGAAGCTGGAGGAGGCTGCGCGTGCGGCCGCGGCGGGCGCGGGGGCGGGGTCCAGCCCGCCGGCGGCGGGCCGGGGGGCGGCTGCTGCAAACCTCACGACCACGTTTCTGGTCGTCCTTCCGCATGGTGCGTGGAAGGCGCACGGCCTGCGCGACGTTGCCCGCCTGGAACCCAGTCCGACTCTTGTCATATCCACACCAAGTCCTGTGCTTCGTAATTGTTGTGCTGCCCACAATCTTCCGGTCGGCATGCACCCCTTCGTGCGTTGCGCGCATGCATGCATCCCAAAAGCGTCGCCAACGGCGAGGATCGAACTCCTGTCCGGGGTCCAGAGCGCTTCACCCTGACACGCAAGCCGTCTTGTTTCAACAGCACCCACCCGCGGCGCCCGCCCCACCACAGGCTCTCGCGTGTCGTTGCCCGAGGCGCTCCGCTTCGTCCAGGACGAGTCCCCCTCCAAACTCGCCGCCGCGCTGGCGAAAAACTTTGGCGTGCCGTCTGTGCGCGTCGGCCGCCCCCGCTGGCTCCCAACCGTCAAGACAGAGGCCTGGCTAGAGGCAGCCGTGGCGGAGGACGGCGCGGGCGCCGCCGCCCCGCCGGCCGCGCCGCCCGCGGGCGCGGGCGCCGCGCAGGCGAAGGCGCCCGCTGAGGGTTCTGCTGCGTCGGCGCAGGGCGCCGGTGCGCCGCAAGAGGCTGCAACATTGCCTGGTGGCAAGGCCGGATCCCAAGAGCGAGCTGCGCAGGCCATAGGCAATGCACAGCAGCAGACGCAGACGCGGACGCAGCAGCAGCAGCAGCAGCAGCAGCAGCAGCAGCAGCAGCAGCAGCAGCAGCAGCAGCAGCAGCAGCAGCAGCAGCAGCAGCAGGGGGTGGAACCGGGCGGCGGCGCGCCCGCCGCGGCCGCGGGCGATGCCGAAGGCACGGGCAGCGGCGAGGCAGACCCAGTGATTACTGGCGGCTGGCGCAGGAGCGCCCTGCGGGACGCCAGATGGGTGGCCGCGGCCCCTTGCAGCGGCGTGCCCACTCTAGACGACAGTATCATGGACAACAGCGGCCGCCTGTGGGGCTGGCAGGCCGGCGTGTCTTGCGCGTTCAAGGGGCCGGACGGGGTGCCCATGCGGCGGCAGTTCGTGCAGGGCGCGGCGGCGGGCGCCGCGTGACTGGACGCAGTGCGATATGGTTGAGGGGAGGCTAGGCGCTCCCGCCCACCCGATGGCGAGCCATCCACCTGCGTCGCCGCTTTGGAGCTGCGAACGCCTGCCTTCCGTGCCCGCACCCGGCAGCCGCATCATGATGATGCTGCGTCACACCCAACATAATCTTCACCGTTGTCGCCAGATTTATTTAAACATTGCGACATTTGGATTGCCGTGCACACGGCCGACAACCACGCACCCAGAGCTGCGCACCCACGCACCCGGTGATCCTCGTGCACGCACACGTGCGGCCTCCGCACGTCGCTCGAGCGCGTGCATGGGGCTCCTGTTTCGACGCCACTTTGACGTGTGCCCTCGTGAGCGCCGCTGTGCGCCGGCAGGAGACCACCACCAGATGGTGAGGCTCTCTCGCTTTGAAGAACCGCTGCTTCGTTGACCAGCAATTCGGCATGTTTGACTCCTGCGCGCCGACGAGGCTGCAACCATCCAGGGGCCCCAGACAGCGCGGGCAGCATTCGTGTTGATGGGACAAAGCGCCAGGCAGATCGGGTACCACGCACTTACATGCCGTTGACATTTCTGGCACCCAGCCTTGACAAGCAGCTGTCCGGCTGCCACTCACCAAGCTGATTTGTCCACTGGTCTCAATACTTCCTTGATTGTATCCATACTTGAATACCTCGAATACCTCACTCCTTTGCCAGCACACCCAGCTGTGGCCGCGTTTGGAATAATCAACTGCCACCCCACACTGACTTGACCAGCGATGAGGACCAGATAGATAGCATCACGCCCCCAGTGGCAAAAGATGGGGTGCAAACAAACCGCCACCCCCAATCACAGCTGACAGTGCTGCGCTTGCTGCTGTGTTCAACAACTTTGTAATAACAACGTCGTGCAGGGCTCTTCAGTTGTGTGATCGAGTCGACAGCAGCAGTGGGAAGACCAGGCGGAGTTGCTGCCCAATCGAGGCGGCTCTTCTACAGGCCAGCAGTGACATGGCGGATGCACACTACTGTTGCTGTCAACGGCTAGTGCGTCGTAAGCAAGCACGTGCACCTATGAGTGGGTGGGGTAGCAGGTGCCCAGCGCCACCGCAGATGTGGGCTGCACAACTCAGCCGAAATTGTCCTTGGGTACCCGTGTTTGCAATGCCTCGCCCACTGCTGTGTGTGGCCTCTGGGAGCGGGCTTGATTGTGCTGCGAGCCTCATGAACTCAACTTGATTGATTATTGTTCCAGTCAAATGCGGTCAAACACATTGATCCTCCCGGGCAAACCCCGCAGGTGGGTCACCTCGAGGAGACCGGGGCTGCTACGGGTGAGGAGCTGACCGCTGCTGACCTGGCGGCGCTAGAGGCCGAGCGCACAGTGCGGCTCGAATGAAAGGTTTGTGTATGGGTCAGGAGGTAGAGCCGTCCGCGCACCGCATCTCTCTGCTTGGCTGGCAACCCGTGCCAAAGTGTGCGCTGCGCATCAAATCGCTTGATGTATACGGTATGCAGGAGGATGTGTTGACTGGTCAGAAAGCAACATCGCCACAGGCTCTGGGACGACGAGCGTCATAAACATAGAGACTGCATGCACACAACATGGATGCCAAGGGTAACATCCCTAGATGACAAGCTGGATGCACAAGCGCCCACGGGGTGCCTGGTGTGTGACCGACCACCAGCTCGTGTGACCGCCTCTGCGCTTCCGTCGGTGGCAGAGACGGGCAGCTCACGGGGTTCCAGTTGCGACCTGTTGTTCCGCCTAGAATGTCGTGCTTTCACTTTGGTAACACCTGCCTGCAGTGCCTGCGTGCGTCAGCGTGACGAATGCCCGTGCAGCTGAAGTGCCATGTTGTCAAACTACTTACACACATAATCTTTTTGATGTCGAAGGGCCTCTCGATTGATTAACCGCACAGATCTCGATTGGTTGCTTCGACTCTATTACAGTCTTGTGCTCGCTGGTCTCGAGTGAGCCAGGATTCAGCGCTCTCAGGCGTGCTGGCCTTTGCTCATGACTCTGTCGGCACCTAGCGCAGACCAATTGCAAGCTGCTGTTGGCACCCGGCGCACATGAATGCACCGTGGCAGCATTGCTCCCCGAGCCGCCCCACCTCACTTTTCTCAGTTTCCCCTTCATGCCTGCCTTTGCTCTCGCCCTTGGCAGGTGCACCATAGCACTCCCCTGTTTTGATCATCAAATTGAGATGGCCCCTCCTGCCATGCCCAAGCGCGCCTTGGGCAAGCAGGTGGGTAGGGGGGGGTCTCCCGACAAGCGACGGCCTCATTGCGCTCGTGCCCGGCCCTGCCATTTGCAGCAGCGAAAAGCAAGCCCAGGGCGCCGCGGCGTCATGCACACCCTGGTCTGGGCCCACTGCGGGGGCACAGCATTCCGCAGTCACCCACCGTGCGTGGTCCAGCCGTGGCGGGCTCCAGCTTGACTTGCGCCAGGGCCGCCCCTGGCATCGCCGCCTCCCAGCAGCTGCCCGCGTCCAACTACTCGCCTATTTGTAATCAAGGGCCGACGCCCCACACTCCTGGGGCTTTAACAACGAAGGCGTGCGTCCGTAAAGCCCCACAGTCCTACCCCTTGTTGGTTGCTTGAGTTGCACGCGCGGGAAGGCAGGTTTTGACGTCCCGGATGAAACATTCCAACCGCTAATCCCCACACAATAACAGGGCCTGGAGGTCTCCGCCCTGGGCCTGGGCTGCATGGGGCTGTCGGCCTTCTACGGCGCCCCCACAGAGGAGGGCGCGGCGCTGGCCGTCATCCACCGCGCGCTGGAGCTGGGGGTGACGCTGCTGGATACAAGTGATATCTACGGCCCCTTCACAAACGAGGTGGGCGGGTGGCATTTTGCAATGCTGCATCTGACACACAAGAACTTGGATGCGGGCCCAAGAATATGCATGCAAATGTGAATCAAGGATGGACGCCTGTCCATTAAAACTGCACGCCCCAGGGTTTAGCGTCACCTTGGCTTCAGCCAACTCCCATCAGGGTTCCTCGCTTCAGCAGGGGGTTCAAGGGCCGGCTTTACTCATGGAGCATATTCCACGCTGCTCGTTCCTCCCGCCTCCATCAACGTTGATGCTTCAATGCTCAATCCCATGAGCCTGGATGGCTACAGGAGCGGGCGACCGCGGGACGCTTTAACAATGCTAATCCTGATCCTGCGTCCTGCCCGTCATGCACCCCCTCCTCAATCACCGCGCCCCCTCCCTCAGGAGCTGGTGGGCCGCGCAATCAAGGGGCGGCGAGAGCAGTACACGATCGCCACAAAGTGTGGCATCGTATTCGGGTGCGCTGGAGAGGGATCTGTCCACTGGTTGCCAATCGCCCGGACTATGTAGAGCCGGCAGATCTGCCAGCCCGGCACGCCGTGCTGCAGGCGTGCACCTTGATATTTTCACAAGGGCAACAACACGCCCTCTGTGCGGGGCGCCTCGCGGCGCGCTCTTTCGAGTTGCCTCGAGCTAGCCACAGGCGTCCCGCCTTGCCCGCCCGCCCGTGAAACCTGCGACCGCCCCATCTCTTATCGTTTGGGAGCAGCTCGCCCTAAGCAACGCGTCGCCCAGCCCACCCCTTGCCCCGTGCCCCTCCCTTTGCACCTCACCCAGGCCCGGCGGCCCTTCCTTCGACGGCAGCCGCGCCCACGTGCGCGCCGCGTGCGAGGCGTCCCTAAAGCGCCTGGGCATCGACACCATCGACCTTTACTACCTGCACAGGTGGGCTGGGGCCTTGGCACTGCAGCAACATAGGCATGAGATTCGTCGCAAGGCGCTGGGCTTGCAGAAGTGTGGTTGTTGCAGCAGCTCTTTCGGCTTGGGGGGCTGTCAGAGAATCGACGGCGGAGGACGGGCCCTGCACGTTGACGACGAGGATGGCAGCAGGCATGGCGCACCTGGCAGGCACCTTTGGGAGCTGCAGCCAAAGCATCTGAGAGGGCGTCAACAGGCTCGAGGGGCCGCGCCGTGCCTGGGCTGCTGTTTGTACGCCTTGCGGCATCTCCATCCCAAACCCATCCTGCTGATGCCCGCGCCGCCTGCTGCCCTTGCTTGTTCGCCGCCCGACAGGGTGGACCCCAACACCCCGGTTGCTGAGACGTTTGCAGAGATGAAGGTGGGCGGCACGTCAAGGGGAGGGGGGCCTCGGGGAAACAGGGCACCTCGGACGCACGCCCCTGGCATAAGAACAGGCTGTTGGACGTTGCAGAAGCCCTGTTTGGTCACGCACCGGCGATGCCGTGCACATCACGCGGCGTTCCTTGCGTCCAGGGCGAGTCCGTTTCGGGGCTACATTTTGCTGGCACGCTCTGTGCTTCCACTATTTTGGTTGAGTCGAGCTGCAGCCCGACATCCTCACAAGCTTGCTGATCCAAAAGTGCGCCGCGATCAATCCACACACGCACTGTGTATCAGTGATAAACCGCCATCCCCTGCCGTCCTCTGCAGGCCCTGCAGGCGGAGGGCAAGGTGCGCCACGTGGGCATCAGCGAGGCGTCACCCGATGACATATGCGCGGCCCACGCGGTGACGCCCCTCAGCGCGGTGCAGCTGGAGTGGTCCCTCTGGACCCGCGACGTGGAGGTGCGCTGCTCTGAACGTTCATGATTATCATAGTTGTTAACACCTGTCCTGTCACACGTGCAGTCACATGTATGGAATGCCAAAAGCCATACGTGTGCTTTTGTGTGTGCGTGCGTGCGTGAGTGCGTGCGTGCGTGCGAAAGTACATGCGCCCTGTCTTGCGCTGTGTGCTTGCGTATCGTCTTCCACACCTCCCTTATTTCGTCCACCCCCTTTGCCCCCCTCCTTCACC